GACTGTGATTTTGGATGGTGTGGTTAAATTGGAAGGTGTGGGAAGTGGGAGGATGGTGTTTGATAATATGCCTGAGAGGAATGAGGTTGCTTGGACGATTATGATTGTTGGTTATGTGAGTGTTGGGCTTATCCGTGAAGGCTTTTCTCTTCTTGAAGAAATGGTTTTTGGTTGTGGTTTGGGATTGAATTATGTCACCCTCTGTTCATTTTTATCGGCTTCTGCGCAATCGGGAGATATGATGACAGGCTGTTGGGTTCATGCCTATGCTGTTAAGGCAGTGGGTAATGAGATTGATATCATGGTTGGCACAGCAGTGGTTGACATGTATGCAAAATGTGGTAGAGTAGACACTGCGTTGAAAGTTTTCGAGCACATGCACCAAAGGAATGAAGTGACCTGGAATGCTTTGCTTAGTGGGTTGGCAATGCATGGAAGGGGTAAACTTGTTCTGAATATGTTTCCTCAAATGCTCAAAGAAGCCAAGCCAGACGATATAACCTTTACCGCTTTGTTGAGTGCTTGCAGCCACTCGGGCCTTGTTGAACAGGGTCGACATTACTTTGATAATCTTGAAGCATCATACGGTATAACACCTAAGATAGAACACTACGCTTGTATGGTGGATCTTCTAGGTAGGGTTGGTCATTTAGAAGAGGCTGAAGTCTTGATTAAGAAAATGCCAATGCCTCCAAATGAGGTTGTTTTAGGTTCCCTTCTTGGTTCTTGCAAAGTCCACGGAAAGCTAAAGCTGGGCGAACGCATTCTGCAAGAACTGGTTCGAATGCACCCCCACAACACAGATTATCATGTCCTGCTTTCAAACATGTACGCTTTAGGTGGAAAGCAGGACAAGGCTAACTCACTGAGGCAGGATCTTAAGAACAGGGGTATAAGAAAGGTACCTGGAATGAGTTCAGTTTATGTGGGTTGCCAAGTTCATCAGTTCAGTGCCGGAGATAAGTCACACCCGCAGACGATGGAGATTTACATGAAGTTGTATGAGATGATACAAAGGTTGAGATTGGCTGGTTATGTCCCAAATACTGGTTCTCAGGTTTTCTCTGGCGTTGACAGTAGAGATGATGATGCAGATAAGCTGGAGGAGATAGAGCAGGCGTTGTTCTGCCACAGTGAAAAGCTGGCAGTCTGTTTTGGACTTATAAGCACAAGAGCTGGCTCAACTCTTTATATTTTCAAGAATCTGCGGATATGTGTAGACTGTCATTCTGCTATGAAAATAGTTTCTCATGTTTATAATCGAGAAATTGTAATCAGGGATCGGAATCGATTTCATTGTTTCAAGCAAGGTTCTTGTTCTTGCTCTGATTATTGGTGATGTGTTGTACATAAATAATGCAAGTGGTGATTAATTAGATTTGTTTGACCTATTTGATGTCCTATTGAATGGAACTTTATGACGTTTATTCATTACGCTTCTCCTTATTTGTTCATTATGCTTGTGAAAATGCTAATTAAGGCGTTTTTTAAAAGCCTAAAAAAATAAAGAACACAACTGGAGATGCAGGGGATCGAACCCTGTACCTCCCGCATGCAAAGCGGGCGCTCTACCATTTGAGCTACATCCCCAATTTGCTAAATATATTAATCATATTCTTATTTCATGGTATAGATGAAACAAATGGCCGCGATCGCTTTGCATGCGAGAGGCACGGTTACTTGGAATATTAGGATGGTGGGTTTTCTTTTATTGTCCTTTTTATAGGGATATGTTTCGTCTTTTCAATAAGTTGGGGATGTAGCTCAAATGGTAGAGCGCCCGCTTTGCATGCGGGAGGTACAGGGTTCGATCCCCTGCATCTCCACTTGTTTTTCTTTTTCCTTTGGTTTGTTTTTCTTTTCAATTACGTTGTGAAACGGGTAAATAGATACCCATTTTTCCTAGGCATATTTTGAAGAATCATTAAAATTTACTTTTTAGTCCCTATTTCTTTCTCATTACTAATTTCTTAGAACTTGCAACCCAATTGATACACAACAGAGTATGAAAACAGGGCAATCAAGATGGAAATGGGAAACAATTTGGCCATGGTTGGTTCACAATACAATGAATGAAGAACAACCACCTCTCAGTCTTGTGGTGCCTTCAGTGTGTCCTACTACTCCTTACTTATTAGTTGCAGCAGTTCTTTCTTTTCGTTCTTCAAGACATTCGAAAATTCAACATATGTTTGTACTTGGATTTTTCAATGAGTACTACTCACATGATTAATTAGGCCACATTCTTGAGCTTCTCTGTTTTGAATTTGTCATAATCTGCTAGCAGCCTGGCATTTATTTTCACATCGTCCATCGTCGTCTTCACGAGCTGTTCGCGGAAAACATTAATTTGCCAGAAAGATACTTGCCCTTATTTTCTAACTGTGCTTGTATGGTATCTATAAGAGAAAATCAAATAGTCTAACACACTTGGGTTTTGAAGAACTAACCGTTTTTGTAATGTTTAGCATAACATCATCCGGGACCCAAGCAAGCAGAGGTGAAACAATGAAGCTTATGTTGATATTAAATATGTTTCTAAGCCAGCTTTGTGCTCCTTGTCTTTCAGAGTATATGGCTCCTTTGATAGTGAGGCTAAAATCACCTGGCTCATACTCTGAGGGGCCTAGGAGCTCCCATCTTGTCTAGAAAAATAAAAAAACAAACAAACAAAGAAATGTGACCTTGGAAATCTCCCCAAGTACATGAAATTAATTACCTATTGATTTTTTTTTTTTCCCAATGGATTATGGTATGCTTACTTACAATGTCAATCTCAAGAACCCTGGAAATGTCTTGAGGAACATGAGAAGGGTAGTCTTTCCCCATCGATTTCATTCTTAACTTGACATATAGTATAAGGTAGATAGACAAGAACAAGACTTGCATGGCTGGCATTTTCATTCTCCACTCTTCCTGCATAATCACATGATACGTCCTTAAACCTAACCCCAGCAGATTAAGGGTGATAAGAATTGAGAAAAAGTTCAAATTTGTGTAGAAATGCAGGAAAATAACAAGAAAAGAGAGCACTAGGCACCTCACTGAGTTGAGTTTTTTCCTCGTCCTGAAAAATTGTTTTAAAAACCCTTTGCTCATCCTCCAAATATTGATAAAATGGAGCCTGCAAATTAAAGTAGCATTCAAGCAAATTATGAATTATGCAAGAGCTTCAGTCTGTAAGAGAGAGGGGGAGAGAGAGAGATGAATAGTACCCTAGGGGACTCATAGAGAGGGGCATCAATAGTATGTCTAAAGTAGAAGGTTAAAGGCTCCTTTTTCTTTGGCTGACTTGGATTAAACAAGGCCTTTACATGGCAAAGCCTGTCCTGCTTCTTCATCAGCTTACCCTTCAAATTTTCTGCTCCGGCACGCATGCCTCTACGAGGACAGAGCAAGGGTTGGCAATGCCATACAGAAAAAAGACCAGCAGCAGCAACCTCTCCCATCTTCTCTTTATCATATTGCAAACTAGTTTTCCTCTAGCTTAAGCTTTATATCAAACTTTTATGTAGCTAAGAAGAGAAAAAAGATATAAATTAAAAAAAAGGAACAATTTAGTTCCATGGTGATAGGTGGTGGCCCTAGTATTTGATAGAGCAACGGAAATAGAAATCAGAATTACAGCACCTCAAAGCACACTTCCTAACCATGTGCAACTGTTTGCTCAAAATCAGCGTTTTCAACTCCACACGCAAGTAATTAACGAAATGTAGTTGCATCTGCATGTGTGCTCGACATCAGCATTTTCGACTCAGCGTTTTCAACTCCACACGCAAGTAATTAACGAAATGTAGTTGCATCTGCATGTGTGGTCGACATCAGCATTCTCGACTCGAACAATATGAACACAGTTTTTAAGCTCAACCATGTGCGTGCTTGTTTCGTCTTGGAAACATGGGATTTTTAGAAGCCTATGCTTGCTACTGCAACAGTGTCTTTTCAGTGTTTGAAAACACTGCCTCATTAACCCTCAAATGCAAAATGTTCAGCGATGAAATGGTTTTTTAAGGTAATTTTTGCATATGAAGCAGCATTAACTGAGGCCTTAGTCTCAACCGGGAGAAAAACTTGTATATCATGGGGATATTTTATTATCCCCAACTAATCATGTTCCGCCACACGTGATAACTATTCCACATGGCAGCACGTGATCGGTTGGAATAGCAAAATAGTGTTATCTCCATGACATGCAAATTCATCTCAAAACGGGGCATATGAT